CGGCGGGGATGATTTTGTTTTGCCAGTCCGCCAAGCCTCTCAGAGCCGTGTGTGCTTAGAAATTCCGGAGATGGCTAAAAAATGAGCCTTTAAGATAGGGAAGAGAGATTTTGGTTGAGTGCTGATGGAAATTTGCATTATAATTATTTCTTTTAGTTCTGCAAGCAACTGAGAAATTAAGGCGACCTAAAAAGAAGAATCAACACTACCCACAATTAATTGATGGAGGAAGAGTAACTGTCCTCTACTTTGAAGCCCATTTATTTAATCTATTTATTTAAACTCCTCCTTTGTTATGCGGCATATTCCCTTCAACAACTTCAGTTCATTTAAATGTCACTAAAAATATTTACATTTTAATGACGCCATAAACTAATTTGTAACGAAACCTTTTCTAATTTTGTTCTTTGAGGTTTGTCCCCTACTGCAATTACCGTACATTTTATTCTCTATCGCTTCATTCTCTAATAATATTCTGTGTATTCGTCTCTTTATTCATTCTCCTATCATTCTCTCTTTCCCACTTTGCATCTAGAGATGCCATTCATAAAGCGTCATAGCCATCCATCGTTGCCCACAAGCAATGGCTTTTAAATTATTCAAGTGCCACCACATGCTACGGCAGAATCGTGCCACAAAGGGTCATGTTTGTGCTGCACCTGCACCTTACATGCCACAGTCAGCTTGCCCGTATTGCTACCCTCCCGACATTCGACTAGCTTTTAGCTTGCCCCTCTCCAGTAGTTCCTGTGCAGTTATTTTCATAGCCATTGCACACTTCTCGTTGCTAGTCAGTCGTCTATTACCGAAAAATACATGCCAAAAATATTTCACACATTGCACAAACCCACACAAACAATAGCAACAACGACAGCAACTCCCATTGCAACTTGCATTGATTTGCTGGCAGCACGTTTGAAGTCTATTGTGTTGCAAGCCGGCGCACTGCCACGCCCTTCATCACCACACCAGACGTTGCACAATCAACTGGCGGCGACTGAGACTTCAGCTGAGACTTCAACTTTGAGTCAGATTCGTTGACTGAGTTCCGCTCTATTTGCTGCGACAAAGTAATAGTAAAATTTCATACTTCCGCAAATCTTTGTCAAACCCGTGTCGAACAGTACAGTGCAGTACGAATAACTGAAAATTACAACTGAATAACTGAATAATTGTAAAGGAGGAATCTAAAGGTGTTTTTCAATCTTCAGCTAGACTTGAGCCTTAGATAGATTCGGGTCTTTTGTTCTACATAAGTACAATGATCTTTCTCATTTGCTTTCGACCGAACTCTCTCTCTTTCTCTCTCTCTGTTCTATACAATTTATCCTTTATAGGCATCTCCGGGGAAATCTCTGCCGGACTGGTTGGAGATTTCCCTTTTACTTTTTCTCTTTATGCTTAATTAGCTGTTAAGTAAAATTACTTTTCCTTCTATAATTACTTTTTTTTTTTGCCAGTTAGGTCTATAATGTCTCTGACGACATATAGCTGGCCAAATGGCAAATAAAATTCCCTCAACGAATCGGAGGCATTAGTAGACGTTATTGTATAGTTTTTACTTAGGCTTTCTTATCTTTTATGTTGAAATTATAACGTCGTATTATTAAATATCTTTATTTTATTTTATAATATGATATTATAATATAAATCATAGTTTTTGTATATGTATCGACAGCACTATTTATTGATTTACTAAATAAATAAAATAAATTTCTAATTATATTTAAATTAAAAACAAAAAACTGAACGGAGGCAAAAAAGTATTTTCATGCTTCCTTTTTAGAAAAATCAGAATATTAATTGGAAATACCTTTATTTGAGCTCACTTCTCTGTTTGGACACTTCGCGTGCGCAACAGACAGTGTAGGTTAACAAATAAGTTAACAAATATTGCTTCTATTGGTCAGTGAGAAGTCTTTGTATTTATTTCCACTCCCAGGCACTCTTCACTGTGCATACTAGTCGCTTCTGTTGTTTCCCATTCCTCGTTTCGGCATCGCATATTTTGTGTGCGCTCAATTATACGCCAAAATGAAGCTGCTTTTGCTAACGCCCCGCAGCGTTGGATGTCGCCTCACTCATCCTCCTCCTGCCACCTCCTTCATCCTCTTGTCTCTTGCCACTTGCAGCTTGCCCCGCCATTCGATTTAACTGTTTGAATTGTTGGCATTTCATTTAAGTGCAGCGCATGCAACATATTTTGTTGCCATTGCGTTCTCTGCACCAACAGGCGGTGTCGTTTTGTTTTTGTTTTGCGTTCTCCGTCACTCTTATCTCAGTCCCCCATCCCCATCCCCCTCCCCCACACTCTGTGGGTCTCTGAGGTTAGCCGCTGGCACTCGTCCTCGGCATTTCTGACCGGCATTTCTTTGGTGCTTTGTTTGTGCAGCTTTAGCGCAAATGTAAATTAGTTATTGATGATCGAAATCATGAACGATTTGTTGCATACCGCACAGCATAGCATGGACTGCAGATTTAGTTACTGATGAGGCTTATCCGAGTGCAGCTGAATGCTAATACTGCAACTGTTCAAGGCAATTCATGCAAAACAAATCGCGCTCGAGGAAAAATAGAACGACCAATTCCAAACCGATTTAGCATTAATTCAGACCATTTATATTTTTAAGTATTTTCCCTACTATAAATCAATCTATCCATAAAAAAATAGTTAATTGCCGTCATCAATATTGATTTGTTTTAGAAACGCCAATTGGAAATTACCAATATTAATAATAAACCAATTTTCACTAAATCCAACCCCACGTCAGACCTTTTATTAAAACGATATTTGCTAGGAAGAAAACTTACTTAATCCAGTTTATTATTAGATATTTGGATACTAAAAAAATGTACCTAAAATATAGCATTTCTAAAGCTCACTTGATGGAAAAGGCCATAATTTTATTCCATTGTATAGCACTGGCTTTTGAAAAAGCTAAACCCTAGCAAAATGAACTTGTTTTTTAAATATCTGCCACAAAATATATTATGCTTCTCATTATTTCTTACCCTTTTTAATAATAAATAGTTTGTTAAATCCTTTATTTTCCCTACAAGATTCAATCGACTGCGATTATAGATAATCCATTTGGGAATTCACAAATTATTTTATTTAATAATGAAAACTTTGTTAAATCCTATTCTTTATTTTCCCTACAAGATTCAATCGACTGCGATTATAGAGAATCCATTCAGGAATTCGCAAATTATTGAATTAATGAAGCGGATTCTGTTCTCAAACAAATTATTACATGCCTCAGGTGTGCATCTAAAAACTGGCCCTATTGTTCGAAATGCCTTTCACTTATCTGCACACTCACACACACACACACACACACATAGACACAGACAGACAGTAACGGAAAATGTTCCTCTTCTATCACTTTATTGTGCGACGTCTAAACAAGTTGTTGCATACTTTTATGGGCTTTTCACACATCACAAAATTCACAAGCTTATGAGTGGAAATTCATAAACGTTGAACGAGTTGGCAGCGCGCCACAGCAAATGGGGCTCCCGGCATGTTATAAATTTCTAATTGAATAAGCCATATGTGCGGCCCCAATATAAAGTGGCCAATACGACGCTTTCTCTCACATACTCGTATGTGCAAACACACTGATATAACTTATAATGTCATTCGAATGGCTTAAAAGCGTTATCATTTCTTTATGTTTTTCCTTATTGCTAAGCGCAAAAAGCAGCTGCAGCTGCAGCAGCAGCAGCAAAGGCAAACAAAATGCGGCAGATACAAGAACAAAAGTGTACAGAGCAACAGAAACAGCAGAAGCAACAGCAACAACAACAAAATTGCTGTATGCATAACGTATATGACCAACAAGCAAAATGGCAGCCAGGCAGTCAGCAGGCAGGAGACAGGCAGACAACGTCAGTGTCGGCAGGCACTGAGCAGGCGCACAGTGGAGTTTGCATTTACGAAATATATTTTATTATCTTAATTTTTTTTATAATCATTATTTATAATTTATTAAACTAATATTCTGCTACCAATATGGCAGCTTAAACTAGTTAAAAATTAAAGGGAATACAAAAATTATCCATAGTATATATTTTTATTTTATTAAATCCGACTCAGTGGGGGAATTTTATTTTCTAAACGGCCAGCTATGTCCCGATTCACAGCAAAGAGTAGTCAGAGAGGTTATTAGACCTAACAAAAAAGAAAAGGAGAAGAAAAAAGCAATTCAAGATAAAGAAGAAGTATGATTAAATTAAAATAACAAATTATAATACTTAAATAACACATGATAAAATATAGTTTAAAGCTGAAGGTGGAGAATCACTGACTATAGGACACACTTAAATCTATATAAATATGCAATGCAGTATTTACAATATTTTTTAAATAGATATGAAAAATATTGTAAATTGTGGGGAGATCCTTCGGATGTCACTTATCTTAAAACTGTTATAACTAATAGAGTCATGAACTTGTTTTCTCAACATTTTTCATGGCGTTGAAATATTTTTATAGAAAAGAGGGAGAATATATTGAATCTCTGCTTCATACTTTTTATTGTATATAATTTATTTTAGCTTTCAAGAGAAACAATTAATGAAGCCATTAAAGAAGAATAAACTTTCAATAATTTTAGGCAAAGACAAATTATTATTTGAAAACATTTTGAAGCAACATTTCAAAATGAAATTGAATTCTGTTCAGTCAGAATGTTTCCAAAAAATCGGCTCTAATTAAATACCATTCCATACTTTTAAATCATTGAATACAAACTGTGCTTCAACGACAAAATATACTCGTATTTATATAAATATTACAGCAATCTTATTTATTTTCAAGAATTCTTGCAACTCTCGAGATCATAGGCACATTAAGTCATATAAAGATAAAGATATTTTGTTTTTTTTTTCACATCTCTTTGGAAAACGAACAGACATGAATAATAATTATTTCGACACCAACGAGTCTAGTACCATGATATCATTTCAAATTGGTGAATTATACTAAAAATGCTTACTGAGAAACACTGTGCAGCAGCATGCGATGTTGGGGACGTTGGTGACGCTGAATTTGCATTTGCATTTTACAAACAATTGAAAAAGTAGTTAAAGTTTTTATGCTGCCTCGAACGGGTTGCCTGGCTCCCTGGATGGCCGACTGGATGGCTGAGCTGCCGGGCGCTGCTTTCACTTTATCGCACACCTAAAAGTATGGTGCATGCTTTTTGCACGGACCATGCATATGCAACGGCTCAACAGTAGACACTAACCCCCCTCCCCCACCATCGCCCTCCACCCACATACTCCGCTGCTGCCACTGCTGCTTTGTATTTGGCATATTACTCGTACAGTCAATGCCACCAGACCGACAGGAGCGCCAACAAAAACCCTCACCGTCTGTCAAGTGTTTTTGTATGGCAGAGCACATTTGTAAATATGAATGAGCGTGTGAATATATACTATGTGTGTGTGTGTGTGTGTGTGTGTGTAAGAGTATAGTACGATGGAAACTATACATCATGCCGTGCTAGTTTTTCGCACTTTTAGCGAAACATTTTGCACACTTTCGCCGTTTTGCCGACTGCGGTTGCTTAGCTTTTTATGGATGCGACCATCCACGTGTCCAGCTGTCAGTTCGAGTTGACACATTTGTTAGTTGGATTTGGATGTGCTATGTCAGTTGACTTTGTGAGTTCCACTGGCAGTTGCAGTTGCAGTTCCCGTCACCGTCCCCATTCCCAACACAGTTGCAGCTCCTATGTCCATTCTTATTTAACGGATTTGGGTAATCGGAACAAGAGAAATTGAAGCGAGTTGCTTACAGTATTTTGTGGGTACATTAAAATGCAAACAAAATAATATGCGCTTATTTATTTTAGAGTAGCTACAAAATATAAAATTTGTAGCACAGGTTTGCTCATAGTTTAGATTTCTTGATAAGCTAATTTTATCATAAGATGTTAGTTAGAAGCTAATGAGGTCGTCAATATCTCGGCTGTCTAAGCATTTGTGTTATTGGCACTGCTGGGGTGGTCCTGGATGCTCAGACCGGCCACTCCTTTGTTGGGTATGGTAACCAAATCACGTTTAATGCGTCGACGACGCATCGGATCACTTAGACGCGCCTGCATCATCTGCTCTAAGTCTATCGCGTACTCCTGACCGGAAATGTGTAAAACACAGACTTTGTCGTCCCTCTGAAAGGACGCTTCAATAGCACGGCTGGTGCGATCATCATACTGCCACCAGCCATTCAGTCCTTCGTAATACCATTGATAGCCATCCATAGTTCCGCGCCTAGCGCAATTGTATTGATGGCCATCTATCATTTTTGGATGGTCCAGAAAGTGGGGTGGTATGGCGCTGCGACACATGGGGCAGCGGCGATCGTGGACAGCAACACCTTTAATGCACAGAAAGCAAAAAACATGGCCACAGGGTAGACGTGTGGCATAAAGAGAGCTCTGCAAACAGACAGGACACTCGAAATCGTCAGAATTCCAGCTAGAAGTCGCACTTTCCTGTGCACCGGCGGTTGACGAGGCCGTTGAATCAGTGCCATTGCTTGTTTCTCGTTGTTGTGACATTTTTTTAACAAATCAAATTTTCACAATTCAAGCTCAAAGCAAATAAAAACAAAATATGTCGAATTAGTCTGTGCTTTCTATGTTTCCAATAAAAAAATGTCGTCTCATTGTTTCTTCTTTTATCTTTATTTGAGTTCTATCTAAAATGAAAGAAATGCAATTATAAGATTGTCATTTCAGTGCTGCAATGGACTAAGTAGTAGGACGAAAGTTTAATATCCTGTAGAATATCCTGTCAAGAGTATACTAGTTTAGTGCGAATGTAGGTAACACACAGAAGGAGTCGTGACAGACTTCTAAAAGTATATATCTACATATATTATTTATCAGTATGAGAAGATGAGTCCATCAAGTTTGTTAATTTTTTCTGTAGCATTTTTTAAATGAATTAAATTTTTTAAAATAATGTGAATAAATTTTATGTTTTTAACAGTTGACTCTAGCATTCCTTTCTTGTTTATTTTTACGACTGGGATCTTTTTACAACTTTTACGTTAAATCGACTTCCAATATGTGAATGCTAAATGCCTTTATTACCTTAAAAACATTTTCAAACCAGTCGTACTTCTTCCACATAATTTAAAAGAAATTATTTAATTTATTTCTATTATTTTATATTATTTATTTTATTATTTTTAGTATTTTTATTATTTTATATTTATTTTATGTTATTTAGTTTATTTTGAAAACAATTTTACCTTAATACCATACGATTAAATTACAAATTTTGAAATATAATTTCAATGTTTATAAAATATGACAAATTATAATAAATTAGATCACGCTTTAGAACAAAATTTAAGTGTCCCGAAAATAGTAATTTATTTATTAAATAACATTTCATTTACAACTATTATAATCTAGGGCATTGAAGCTTGTCGCTCTGATGTCAATTTGAGTTATTTATATAGTTATTGTATAATTAGTTGCATGCAATATTTCTGACATATTTTAAAGCACAGCGTGTGCTGTGCTGAGTTTAAGGACATCAATCAGTAGCTTACAAAGAAGCTACTCAAAGTCAATGTCTCGGCTCAATGGGCTGTCATCTCAACTCAACCGTAGCTCTTTAGCTTTAACCAACAAGCCAAGAAATTCATTCACTTTCCGGGCCATGTTTATAACTATACAAGTATATATATTTGTGTGTAAGTGTGTGGATCTACACACACATCCTTGACAGCTGCCAAACAAACGTTGCACATTAACGGCAATTGCTTTTAAATTGATTGATTTGCCTAGCCAAACGCCAAGGTTGGGCTGTCTAGTTTATGTCTGGCTTTATGTATGTATGTGTACACACACACACACATTTATATATACGTGTTCGCCCGTAGACTTGATTGCGCGAGTCCGCTTTTGCCCCTTTTTTGGGCAAACAAAATATGATTGCCAGCAATTAGGCGCAATGGTTTTTGGCAGCCAACAACCAACAGCAAACACAACATCGACATCGACATCAACATCAACATCAGACGTCACTTGCAAGCGCATTAAATAAGAAATTTGAGCAAAGTGGTAAAATTGCCGCCGTCGTCTAATTGTTGCAAAACACGCCAGAAACAAATTACACAGGACGTCACAACGCCGAGCCAAAGAGTTGACAACATTGGCACATTCTTGTTGTTGCTGTTGCTTTTGCTAGTGCCGTAGGCCAATGTTGCTATTGCAGTTGGTTGCATGCTTGCAAAAGGTGTTGCATTAAACTATGACCAACGTTGGCAACGCCATGTGGCCGCTGGAGTTTCAGCTGCCAATGGCGCGAGCCCAAAACCACTTCAAACAAAATTAAGCGCCACTCACACAGACACCGACGCAGACACCCAAATACCTACACCCTAAGCACACACACCCATACACACGCATTACCACACTTGCCAGCCAGCCAACAGCAGCCTATAACGCTAGCTTAAATAAATATTTTGACTATCTTGCATGTAAGGAAAAGGAAATTTTACAAACTCTAATTTTAACCCTTCCAAGGTGTGAAAAATGTGGGGTCGCATTAAGCTTTAAAAAAATGAATAATTTGCTTTTAAAATTTTCATTCACAGACATTTTTCAACCCCAGAAACAACTTTAATGTAAAAATAAAACACATCTTTCTTTGTAAAAAACAAAATACGTAAAATCAAAAAATTTCAAAAAACAAATATATTTTTATTTTGCCTTGTCTATCTAATGGAAAAACCCGCATTGAAATCAGCAAAAAAAGTCATACGAAGGGTTAACATACAATACAATTTTATATCTTCTCCGATTTACTACACTTTGTCTTTAAATACAAACTTATCTTCATACATTTTTTGGTTAATATGAGAAAAAGAACGAAAAGAACTTGTTTATTATATATATAAATATTTGTGAACTAAAAAGTCCATTATAATATCGATGCAGATATTGGTGCTTGTAGTGTTTTAAAAGAAAAAACTTTTTGACACAAATTTGTAATAATTCTTTATAAGAAAACTAATGCTAGAGGTCTTTTGTAGCCAAATTTCTAAGGCAATACGATACTTCAAAACCATCCACCCTTTGTTTTTCTTTTTCCAATAATGTTGGACTTCAGTACTAATATGTAATTATCTCGATAATTTATATTTGAACAGCTTGTGTATAGTGTTGTTATTAATTAGAAATCCCAAGTACTTAAAGGAATACATAAATATGAAATCATTGCAAACTTCATTAGCACATCTCATCTAATCATGAAAAGGTGTCCAACTTTGTCCCAACTTTTACACAAACTAGTGTTAAAACTGGCACAGGGCTAGAGGCATTGGGTGCTCTGCTCTGTCTGCTTGTTTTGTCATTTGCTGCAGTTTTGCTACGTGCTTCATTCATTAACGGTGATTGAGTGTCTCTGTGCGCTGCCAAATGAAACTAAATAAAAACGCTAACAATGGCAGGAGGCAACAAAAACAAAAACTGTTGCATACTTACGAGCGCTGGCAGGCAATAAAAAGCTCCTGCATGTATCTATGCCTCTGTGTGTGAGTGTGAGTGTGTGTTTTGCTGCCTGTTATGCGTTAAGTGCGTTCCACAGCTTCAAGCGCCATTTCGGCTCGCCTCGCCTCCCCTCTCTTCCCCTCCCTTCATCGTCACCAACACCGAAAGCCTTTTGATGTCTGCCTGCCTGGCTTATTTTTGTTTTTCTTTTTACTGAAGATTTTAGCAGGTTATACTCGTAAACTATCCAATAACAAAGGCAGAGTAAATATGTTGCTAACATCTGCATATATTTTTGTTACTGCTGCAAAAGTTGCAACTACAATAAATAATTTTCATTTACATTTTGCTGCACACTATACTCATATATTTAGCCAACTTTTGCGACTGTTTATGAAATATTTCCGAGCACAAACTTTCACTTCAATAAATAATTTTCATTTACATTTTGCTGCACACTATACTCATATATTTAGCCAACTTTTGCGACTGTTTATGAAATATTTCCGAGCACAAACTTTCACTTCAATAAAACCCAGCAAACATGAACAACAAAAAGTGGAGCACAAACAGCGTTTTCACTATTACGGCGCTGAAATAAAGCAGAAAACATAGAAAACATTAGGGGCAGAAAATGGAACAAAGCGTTCGCTGACGGGTCATTGAATGCCAGATTGAAACTGTCCCGATTTCTAGAATCAGTTCAAAGCTGCAGCAAACATATAGGCGAATTAGATTGTAATGGGCTGCAAAGAAATTTAAATATACACAGGACAACTGAAACTATTTAATAAATTATTAATCATTTTTGGCAAAATAAATAAAATAACTTCTGCATTAACTACAGTTAAAAGTAAAATAATGTCAATTTAATTGTAACATATGTACATTTACCAGCTAACATGGCTTGTATTAATTATAATCATCAAGTGTGAAGTGACTTAAATAATAACACGCTGTCATTTGAAGCAGGGATTGTGGCTTTTCATTCCATGTGGCTTTCCTTCTAAAGTGGCGTAAAAACGATAAACAGCACATGCTTGAATCGCATCAAGCTTCTTTTAATCAACAAACTGTTGACGCCAGCAACAATGCATGCAATAGTAGCAACCAATTTTTCCACACCCCTCTCCCCGCAATACCTTCTCAAACACACTCACCGAGCAACGCCCCCAAATTGGCAATTCTGCCATATTGGCAGTTTTGTGAGCAATCAATTTCGATGCAAATGCACTTGTACTTGACGACTCAATGAATGAGCAGAGGCGGCAGACAACACCAAAGGTTGGTTGGCGGTAGCGTTGGCGTTAGCGTTGACGCCGATGCAGCTCTAGCTGTGGCTACATTTGAGGCCGTTGCAATGTGGCGTATGAGTGATGTCGGCTGCTGCAATGAACGGTGCAAGGCAAAGTGATGAGACAAAATAAGACAACAGGCGCACCATCATCAGCATGCACAACAGCAATTACTACAACTACAAAAGCCTGGCTAACAACAACATCACCAACACTCGATCAGCACAGCCAGCAAGAGATTGCAGCTTGGGTTGTCGATGTAACGTAAACGGCCACCACAACAACATTTTCAGCAGAAAGTAGAACACGTAACGTTAAAGAGATATATTACAATTGCAGGCTACTAGCAAAAGTATGTATATAATTAATTTCACATTATTTTACTGGAGAGGATGAACATATTAAATTATTTAATATTATGTTTATTGTGTCACAAATATTGTTATCAGTTCAAATTCAAATATTTAAGTGAGAAGGAGCAGATACGCAGACATCAGGCAACCTTAACCAAAGTAAAGAAATCAAAAAAAAAAAAAAAAAAACATAGAAAACAAATTGTTTATAGTTGGCAAATATATTAACAAAAGTTGCTGCATTACTTCTTCTTGCTGTTTAATACTTCAATAGTATGCATGATTCTATCTTCATCTTTTTCAAGAATGGATCATAAGAAGTAATCTTTTTAGTGGGTTTGTCCCTTGCCTTCTATTTGACTTCTTACCTGGGAATTAATGTTGAGATTGCTTTTGCCAAATT